GTGGAATCGACAGGTTTTAGCAACAGACTGGACATGAGGCGCAGAGGTGAGGCCAGGATCAAAAATGACACCAAGACAGCGAGCTTGAAAGGATGTGATGAGGCAGGAACCGTAAACTTGCAAGGGGAGTGAAGGAGGAGGATCAGTGTTATGAGAAGGAAAAATAAAAAACTCAGTTTTAGAGAGATTGAGTTTCAGAAAGCGGGAGGCCATCCAGTCAGTGATGGAAGAAAGGCAAGCAGTGATACGTTGTAGGACGGCAGGGGAGAGGTCCGGGGAGGAGAGATATATCTGGGTGTCGTCGGCGTACAGGTGGTGGTGGAATCCAAATTAATTAATGAGTTTGCCAAAAGAGGCAGTGTAGAGAGAGAAAAAGGGGACCAAGAACTGAATCATGAGGGATTCTGACTGAGATAGAAAGATGAGAGGAGGTGTCATTAGAAAAAGAGACACTGAAAGAGTGTTGGGAGAGATAGGAGGAGAACCATGAGAGGGCTGTCTCACAGAGACCAAGAGATTGAAGAGTTAGGAGAAGGAGGCCATAATCAACAGTGTCAAAGGCAGCAGAGAGGTGAAGAAGAATTAGTATGGAGAAGTGGCCTTTGGATTTAGCTGCAATTAGATCATTTGTAACTCGAATCAGAGCAGTCTCTTTGGAGTGGAGGGGGCGGAATCCAGACTGAAGAGGGTCAAGGAGAGAGTTGGAATTGAGGAAGCGATTCAGACAGGTAAAGACGAGTCTTTCCAAAAGCTTTGAGGACAAAAGGGAGCAGGGATATGGGACGATAGTTGGAAGGGAAAGCTTTTTTTTATTTTAAAAAATGCTTAAAAATCTGCCTGTGCCCAATGTTTGAGTGCCACCTTTCACAATTCCTAAGCAATACCCCTTCTTCGATATTTGGGAGCAATGTCAGGGAGATCAGTGGAAAGGGGAGCAATGTCCAGGTGATTGGTGGGTCTGATAGGACAGATAGTTTCTTACTTTAGTAAATAACCCTGCAAGGTTCTATTGCATTCTTTATTATAGATAACAAAATTGTATAACTGGAGTCAAGAATGGCATGAAGTACTCATTTCAGGCCCATATCAGTTGTACTGCTGTGTGTTTCATAAAGTATGTGTCACAGCTAGACCTTTTGTTATCAGAAAAATTTTTTAACCAATAAGAACTTAACTTCAAATCTGAAGACAATGGTGTGACCTACGCCTTTTAAGTTCATGTTCAGTAGTCCAATAGGGCATTGAGGATACATGACTACGCAAAATTACAGCAATCAATTTATTGTTTGGTATTCACATTCTGAACATTTTAAAGTATGAATGCAAGAAAATGCCAAAAGCATGTCAGACATAGATTGCACTGAGCTACACGCAGCCGCAAAGTTAAAGAATAAATGTTCACTAAACGTCACCAAACTGGAGAGAGTTATTAACATTCTGTATAAATGCTTACAGTTTTATTAAATATAGGGGGCACCCAAGATTCTATACAGACAGACACACAAGAATTCACAAATTCATCACCAAAACAATTACATTGTTACTTTAAGAAAAATAAAGGTACCAGCCAAATTTTAACAAAATCATAAAAATTTAAAATACCAACCTTTGTTCTATCGGTAAACGGGCTTATGTAAGTATTATCTATTTGAATGCTTTTTATCTGCTACTGGAACACAAACAACCAAAATCAATGCAAATAAAACATGCAGAGACCGAAATGGGGTACTAGAGTGACTAAACAGCCATCATTAATGTGACGCTGGTCATACTTGGCACACCCATTGCACACATCTATAGTAATCAAAGCTCACTACAAAAGTTGACTATCAGCCATTAAAGAAACACTCCAAGCAACACAACCACTACAGCTCGCTTGTGCACCTCCTTTCTAAGTAGTCAAACTGGTTTAGAATGGTTTGACCTCTTACCTAGGGTAAACCATTTGCCACTACAACCAACAACAAATAACTCTTCTCAAATGTAAATATGTCTCTAAGGTGATCATCCTTGATGATCCTCTATAACAGGGGTGAGCAGCCTTCTGCACTCTACATGTTGTGGACTACATTACCCATAAAGCTCTCACAGCCACAATGCTGGCAAAGCATCAGAGAAGAGGTAGTCCACAACAAGCCTCACATGCGTAACATCAAGCATCAACTGTAGTCAAGCCTGGACTGGCCATCGGGCAAACCGGACAAATGCCTGGTGGGCTGCGATGTCCACGGCCCGAGGCTGGGAGGGGAGATCAAGGGACCTCCCCTGCCGGCCCACGCAGGGCAGCACCGGCTCTTTCAGGGACCACGGTTCCTTCAGGGGCCGGAGTGGAAGAGTTGATCTGGACACACTCCGTGCGTGCCGGGCAGCCTCTGTCTTCTCACGAGTGCTGATATTAACAGAGCATTGCCATGGTAACCCACGGCAAAGCTCTGACATTCCGGCGCTTGCGAGAGGCAGAGACATGGTTGCTGCGTATCCCCTCTCACTGGACCACCAGGGATCTGCGTGCTGCCTCTCCCCTGCAAGGTAAAAAGGGGGAGGGGGAGTAAATGTTATACAAATATCAATTAATTAATGAAGCAACTATCCTACCTCCTATACACACAGTACACCCCCTTATATACACCCACTGTACCCCCTTAAATACACCCACTATACCCCCTTATATACACACAGTGCACCCCTTATATACACAGAGTATAACCCCTGCATCTACACACACTACACCCCCTTATATACACCCACTTACACACTACACTACCTTACATACACCCACTACACTCCCTTATATAAACCCACTTACACACTACACTACCTTATATACACAGAGTACACCCCCTTATATACGCCCACTACACTCCCTTATATAAAACCACTATACCCCCTTATATAGCCACAGTATAACCCCTGCATCTACACACACTACACCCCCTTATATACACCCACTTATATACACACAGTACACCCCCTTATATACACCCACTTGTATACACACAGTACACTCCCTTATATATACCCACTTATATACACACAGTACACCCCCTTATATACATCCACATATATACACACAGTACACCTCTGCACTCAACAGTACACAAACTCTATACCCCCTAAACATACACTACATTCACACATTCTATACCCTCTATAAAGACACACTACAACCGCTATACTCACATACTCTATACCCCTTGTACACACACCACACCACCTATGCATTCACACACACTATACACACAGTACTCTATTTTCCCTGTAAATACACATTTTGTACCCCTAAACACACATTCATTGCTGCAGCTATACACACACATGTGCACTACAACCCCTATAAGCATACAAACACTAAGGCTCCTATATACACACACAATGCAACCCCCTGCATCCCCTAGATACACACAGTACAGCCTTCACATGCGTGCCCACACCACCTAGTCCCACACACTCGACAGGCCCTATAAACACATACACACTACAGCCCCTAGACACACATAGCACGCCACAAACTACAACAAAAATAGTCTCCTACACACACATACAACCTCCAAACACATACAACACCACAGGAGGCATCTACACATACACATAACACACTTTAACAGTCCTGTTCCACATTTGTTCTCTGGTATCCATTTATTGAGGACACCAGAGACAAATCACTAGCAAACACTGTGCATGTTTACATTGAACAAAAAAAATAAAAAGAGGAATTTTTCTCCACCACAGAGCAGTGTATGGTCTGGAGGGGTATCACACTAACATAAACACGACTCCATTCTGGCTCCAGCCCTCATAGTAGGCTGATGTGCCTTTAATTGCCTGGGCTGAATTTTTGTCCCAGTCCGGCCCTGACTGTAGTGGTGTGTAGGAAAACACCTCACCCTTGGACTCTGGGGCAGTGGAAACCTGTTCTCTGGAGTGACAAATCATGCATCACTCTCTGGCAGCCTGTAAGAACCATCTGTGTATGGTGGATTCCAGGAGAATACTACCTACCGGGATGCATAATGTCTGCTGTATAGTTTGGTGGAGGAGGGCTAATAGCCTGGGGCTACTTTTCAGGGTTTGGGCTACACCTCTTAATTATAGTGAAGGGTCATCTTACTGCTACAGGATGCAAATAGTTTTTAAACAACCGGGTGCTTCCAACTCTGGGTCTATAGTTCGGCTGTTCGGGGAACACTGTTGCGTTCCTGCCCCAGCATAATTCTTCTCCTGTGCACAGACTGAGATCAATGAAGTTTGAAGTGTTTGGTGTGGAGGAAGCTGAGTGACCTGCACAGAGTCTTTACCTCAACCCCATTAACCCCTTAAGGACCAAACTTCTGGAATAAAAGGGAATCATGACATGTCACACGTCCTTAAGGGGTTAAACACTTTTGGGATGAATTTTAATGTGGATTGCAAGCAAGACTTTTTCATCCAACTTCAGTGCTTGACCTCACAAATCTCTTTTGGCTGAATGCAGCACACATTATCACAGACATAATCCCTAATCTTTTGGAAAGCCTTCCTAGATGGGCAAACTCCATAGTAATGCACATGGTTATGAAATGGGCTGTCTCTTACAGCTGTGGTGGTCTCTTGTCCTAGCCACATACTTTTTTGGCCGCAGAATGTAAATTGTTTTGATTCCTTGATTACTTTGTAACTGTAGGAGCAGATCTTCTTAAACAGCCATATTTATGAAGAATGCAGGGACACCTCAGTATAACAGCACCATTAATGCTCAGCATCCAGTTTGCCTTTAGTGCTATCAGAATAAGATGAAAAATCGAATCTGATCCGACAAATTAGCTCTTACTAGCATCTCAAATAAAGTAACACCTTCTCCAGCTCAGAGAGGGTTAAACCTTCTCTTAGAAAGATCCTGCCCATTCTCACTGCCCGGCAGGCTTTAATGACGTCACCGCTGTTCAAACCTAGCTCAGTGATTGGTTGGATTGGCGCAGTAGGGGCGGGCGCTGTGACCACATTGCTACAATGTAACAGGGCAGCGCGTTCTATGCAGGTTATGCTCCATTCCAATCGCTATTAGCCCAATCAGGCGAGTGTTCTGCCCCTGGGCCCTGGTAGAACCCTATCACGGATTGCACATACCCTCTCAACGTTCTAGAATCCAAATTCAACCGGGAGGTAAGTTTAAGGTAGATAGGCATGGTTCTCAATATAGAATTAAAGAAACATTCACACATACTGTAAAGCTGGGTTGGTTAAAGTTATTCCCTTATTAACGTTTCGAGGAATCCAAGGTTTCATATACGGAATGAGCTGTGAAAACTGTAATTCACGTTAATGCTTATTTTTACACTTGTTGCAATCAGATCTATTTTTGGCTGTCCTGTCCAGGTACGTAGGCTAGTGAAATATCCCAAATGAAAGCTGCATACCTTAATGAATTGTTTCTCTAATTTATATCCTCTGAATAACCCATAATATTTGAAGCAACTGCCTCTTACTACATACAGAATCAAATCTGAAATAAATCATGCTGATGTATTATCAAATGAAAACAAAAACATATATAGATGATGGTTGGGAATCTCACAGCTCTATTAAATGAGCTGCATTTTGGAAAGAGAACCAATCACCTCTCACACTTACAAAATCCTATTGTGTACATTTTAATACCAGTGATCGCAGTTAATCATATGCATACCAATTATTTGAGTACTATTAGAGCAGGTACTGTCTTTTTTAAAAAAAAATTTAATTTTTTTTAAAGCTAATTTTTAACATCTGACTGTGTTATAAACTATAGTGTGAATTATCACAAACTCAGACATTTTCACTCAAGTGTGAATTAAAAGCGAACTTCCAATTTTAGACCAAAGCACCCAAACTTGGAAGCATAGTTGACTTAGAGAATTTTTCCGGCTTGGCTATTTTGATCCTAACTTCGAAACTCACTTTGAATTCTCACTTTAGTGAACAATGCTGTAAGGGAATCTAATTTGTTTTTTCTTATGCCAGAATTGCACAAAAATCAGCCGTGTCTTTAGCTGAGCTACTTTAGCCTACAAATTGGAATTCCCTTTGGCTTCCTTACCTTGTTCTCAAAATAGTGGGAAGGGCTTCACCTTCAGGGCAAATTCTCATTCTCAGTAAGTGGACATTTTATCTCGTACAACTTTACATGCCAATGGTTACAATAAGATTAAATACCTCTGTCCTGAATGGTAAATTCTTATAGTGAAACTTGTTTCTGTTCAGACTGATAGTGGGTCATACAATAAATATCAGTTATATAAACCTAGAAAAACATGCAACTGTTAAACTTAAAGAGCCATGGGCCGGTTATCAGACAGGCTGGACAAGTCAAACCTGCCCCCCCTCCCCCCCCCACCCACAAAAACAAAACTTTAATAAAAACAAAGGCCAGCTCTATTGTTATATGTGCTATTACCCTTTTAACCAATTTTCAGCTCAGTATATTTGTAGATAAATACTTTAACAGAACATATTTTATGAAGGGATTTCCATGTGCGTATCTGGACCATTTCATTGCCTTCCGCTTAATTTGTATCTGTTCTATTTTCTTTTGAATACGTGTGTGTTTGTTTATTTTTTTGTTGTTGGTTTATTTTTTGCATGGTTTTTGGCAACAATGTTTAGAAATTTACTCTCTTTCTGTAGTTAAAGATTGCAGAAACACCAGCATTCTGTGTATTATAAATTGTTGGAGGGCCATTCTTCATTTTCAATTCTTGTATTTCCTGATGTTACCAAAAGTTGTGTTTTATTTATTTTTTCATCTGCTACTGTGGAATGCGTTGTTGTAAAATAACCTAGTACTATTCGTACTTCACAGAAACTGCCTAATTTCTGTAACAGAACAAATAAACTAACTGTAGTATTAGATGTTTAAAATGTAGATTCATGTGTTCTATCAATACACAGTTTTCACACTAGCTACACTCTTGTTAATAGCACAGTTTATACTTGCTCAGTAACGTCTCACAGTACGGTTCTATTTTCCCAGGGTGACCCAATGAGAATGGAGGTTTGTGAAGATATGACTGTGGACTTACCATTGGCTAATATGCGGAAACGTCAATGTATGGGTGATATGACAGAGCATCCCAACAGTGTAAGTATTATTATTACTGATTTTATTTTCTTTAAAGGGGATATGCCTTTTTTTAATGTACAGTAAGTTCTCCAGTGACTTAAAGGACCACTCTAGGCACCCGGACCACTTCAGCTTAATGAAGTGGTCTGGGTGCCAGGTCCAGCTAGGGTTAACCCATTTTTTAATAAACATTGCAGTTTCAGAGAAACTGCTATGTGTATCAATGGGTTAAGCCTTCCCCCATTCCCTCTAGTGGCTGTCTCACTGACAGCCATTAGAGGCGCTTGCGTGCTTCTCACTGTGATTTTCACAGTGAGAGCACGCCAGCGTCCATAGGAAAGCATTGATAATGCTTTCCTAGGCGACCGGCTGAATGCGCGCGCATCTCTTGCCGTGCGTGCGCATTCAGCCGCATGGGAGGAGAAGAGGAGGATCGGAGGAGGAGAGCTCCCCGCCCAGCGCTGGAAAAAGGTAAGTTTTAACCCTTTCCTCTCCCCAGAGCCGGGCAGTAGGGGGACCCTGAAGGTGGGGGCACCCTCAGGGTACTATAGTGCCAGGAAAACGAGTATGTTTTCCTGGCACTATAGTGGTCCTTTAATTTGTATGATTTTAAAAGGGCAGTCTAAGCAACACAATCACCACATCTCATTATATCTGCTATAATGCAAGAGTCTTTAGTTGCCATCCAACGTCATCCCCTTTCCCTCCCCAGAGCTCTGTCTATCATTGCCATCCAGGTTTGGGTGTGGAATTCATATGTAATTTTTGCTTTATCAGAGTGACACAATTAGATAGAGGTGATTTGTCCCCAAATACACTCCAGACACACAAAGCACTTTAGCTTGCTGAAAAGCTTTATATGTAAAGTGTGTCTTCTTTCCTTCTCCAATAGGAACTGACACTTTGTTTTTTTTTTTGTTTTTTATAAATTCACCTGGTTACACCCCCTTGGCTTTCAATCAGGCAACTGGTCCTTTTACTTGCTGGTTAAAGCTGCAATTGCCCAGACAACCTGCCTTGGGAAGACTTCTCATTGAGCTGCATTGGGAAGTCTGTGATTGGACAGACACAGAAAGTCTGGGCGAGGTTAGAAGGGGAGGGTCTTCCTGGTGCAGAGGGACACACCTATTCTTGGCCATATTGAAATGGCCGTAATTAACATGTGCATAATCAGTGTCTTTGACCAACTTGGACAACGTTGATTAGGTGAGAGCGTTGGGCTAACTTTCCAACAATTTAGTGTCAGTTGAAGTATCACAATGTAAGACAAGGAAAGCCAGAAAACAGCCCCCAAGTAACATCAATTGTCAAGACACTGAATGTCAGTCACACAGTGCAGCTCTGCCCCAGGAAACCCCTCCAAGGTGTCGCTAGTGAGCAATATAAACACTGCCTTATCTATGAAAAAGGCAGTGTTTACAGAAAAGGGCTACAGGGACTGACTATACTCACCAGGACAACTACGTTAAGATCTAGTTGTTCTAGTGACTATAACGTCCCTTTTAACATAAAACAAAAAAGCTTGCTTTATAGCTATTTAGTAAATGTTCAGATGCTTATTTACTCACTTATCCTATATCCCTTTAATCAGCAGCTGCAAACGGAGGCAGCTCAGTTAAGGTAAATTCCTTGATATATTGTGATTGCTTTTTAAATTTTCTCCTCAGGGGAATACTGAAGCATAATGTAATATGCTATCTTTTAACTGGTTTGTTTATTGAGTCAAGGAGAGAAAAGTCTTACATATTCTTATTTTCATCGATTTATACGACTTGGTTATGGCGTGGTCAAAGATCATGGTTCAAGCCTGCTATTAAAGTCGAAGTGTACTGAAAGAGTTGATTGCATAATCTGTAAACCCTACTCATTGCTTTACATATTTTATAACTTGGTTGTTATTAAAGAGACTTTGCCAGAGTGTCCTAAACTTTGTTTCAGTCTTCTTGAAGATTTGGAACATTGTTTGAAGTAGTGTGGCATTGTACTTAGCTATGGATTCCATTTTCCTTCATTCTCAGCAAACCTTTTGGTTAAGGATTGTGAGAGATGCAAATGTTTATTTTTTAACATTACAATGCAATGTGTTATTTTATATATTTTTTTCCATGTGAAATTGCCTTCCAATGCTTTCCTATGGGTAAGCATTGGATTAGTTAAGATCATCTTCGGTGTGCCTCTTTGTTCCCCTCTCCTCCCCCACCCAGAATTCGGTGTGCCTCTTTGTTCCCCACTCCTCCCCAAACCCAGCCTTCAATGTGCCTCATTGTTCCCCTCTCCTCCCCGAACCCAGCCTTCGGTGTGCCTCTTTATCCCCTCTCCTCCCTTTATTCGTCCCCTCCCCCTCAAGCCTTGGCTGTGCCTCTTTGTTCTCCCCTGCCACCCCAGCCTTTGCTGTGCCTCTTTGTTCCCCTTCCCAGCCCACCTCTGTGCTTCTTTGTCCGTTTCCCATCCCCTCCCAGCCCCGCTCTATGCCACTTTGTCCATGCTCCCTGCAGCCTCACTCTGTGCCTATTTGTGCGTGTGTGTCCCGAGCCGCAGTAGAGGAGCTAATGTACCTTCTACTAGGTCTGACAGGAAGCAGTTTGGCGCTCTGACTCTACCTGTCAGACCAGTTAGAGGATACAGAAGATGCTCATCCGTGGCTCAACACACTGCATGCAGTGAAAGGCAGGAAGGGTCACTGTGCAGTGCGTTCCCCTCCTGCCAGTCACCCGAAGATTGCTGGATTTGACAATACTTAGGCATTCCCTTGTGAGTAAGCTCTTGCAAACGTGAAATACATGCGTTTTGACTAATGGAGTGTGTTGTTGGCAATATTATTGGTTAAAACACAAACTCATCAACTCTTCTTGGATTTAAAACTTATTTATTGGCGGCAAAGAAAACAAATTATTAAGAACACCATGTCATTCAGAATAGTTTCATTAATGATTTGTATTTCTCCAAAGTAACAGCTTAATCCTTTCACAACGTTAGGGCATGCTATGATGCCCTACAAAAGGAGGGCTTTAACGCCGTAAGAACACCTTAACATTTGGGCTTCCCTACAGCCAGTATACTTAACCACCTTGCCGGAGCTGACAACAGCCAATCCCACCAATCCGAGTAATGTAATTGTGATTTAGTTTGTCAGGCAGATCCCCTCACCATATATAATTTTATTAATTATAATTATGTATAAGTAATATACCTTAGAATCCCATTTTCATTTTATATATTTTAACTCTAAGTATATTTTGATATTGTATAACAAAACACACTTCGAATAAAGAAAAATGTAATATTTTTACATTCTGTGATTTTCATTAACTGTATATTGGGGGACTTGCCTGACAACCCAGGCAGAAAGTCCAGGGAAATTAATTTGCAAGCCTTATAACTTTCCAAAAGTCTCACACTAGGTGAACACAAACAAGTGTTTTTTGTTTTTACATTTATTTTTACTTACCTGATTCCATCATCAAGGTTCCTTTGGTGCTGGATCGCTCTCCACCTACTCTGACATCATGGTGATGGAGGAATCTAATGCACACACGCAGCACGCACAACGCACACATTTGGCCTTCCCCATATGGAAACATTGACTCGATGGTTTTTTTTTTTTTTTTTGGAGATTTTGAAGATGCTGCATGTCCTCATGCAAGTTGTAGACTCTTTGAAAGGCCAAGAAGCACCTCTACTGCCTGTCTGAATGCAAGCCACTAGAGGCAGTCTTAACACTGCACGGTAAACATTGCCGTTTTACATTGCTGGGTTAAAGGGACAGTGCACCCAGACCACTTCAATAAGATGAACTGCTCTGGGTGCCTATAGTGTAACTTTAAACAACACAATATTGATTAGAGACAGTGACAAGAACACAACTGTTCTGTGATACATTTTACAAAGCATCAATAAGCTCATTCCGTGTAATGTGGTCTCCTACTTAAAGAGAGCGAGTTAGTGTAATAAACAAAAAATATTGGGCTTTAAACTAATCAAGATGAGCGTTAATAGAACTTAACTTAATGAATATTCCATGTTGTAATGTCTTCTGAAACTCATTAATATTAGCCAAAAGGCATCCATTATAGGCAATTTTAACAGTGTCTACTACCCCTGGTTTCCTTACAGTACTGTCTGTGTGCCATTTGTTTCTGGATACTACTCCGGAGTGCAAGAACTATCTCTGCTGCTGGAGTGACCAGAGACGGCACCCACCTCACAGTTTATCAGTGAAGATCTCAGATTGTTTATAAACCAGCAGGCAGAAGCCATTCTCTGTGCTGTGTCCCGTGTCATCCTGATGCTGTGATATATAATATTTATTTTTCTTGCCCAAGTCATAAACTAAGCTTCAGTACAAGTTCCCCCAATTTGTGGCTTTTGTAGTTTTTCAGCTAGAGGCTACTGGTTATTCCTCTGTCTTTGTCCTGCCTGTGGATTGAAATAGCCGTGAGGTTCCAGGCATTAATTCAAGTAGCACATGCATCGTCCCGAAGCACTTTTTGTTTCATGGTGCACTTGTTGTCTCAAAGGGATTTAGGTTATTTATTTATACTTGGTTGTTGAGTTTGCTATATCTCTGTTTTGTCATTGTAAACCCATCGTTTGTATTAATTATACAGGGTTATAATGATAAGTAAATTGTATCCAAATAAATGGAGTCCTTAAGGAATGTAACAATGTCCTACTCCCGTATAAAAAATAAAATAAAAAAAATTTGAGAGTGTGAAAAGGCAATCACTGCTTTACTAAAAATCTTATAACAATTTAGATTGTACCTTGATCAGGTACAGATTGACCATGTTGCCTCTGATAAATAAGACAACAAGCACTATAGTTCAGTTCCCCATCTAACTTCACGAGGAACTAGTGTCTTTCATCTCTCTGTCGCCATTTTCTATCAGAGTAGGATCTGTCCCTTGGTTGAATGTGCCATCTTTATTTGTGTATATGTGTGTGTGTGTGTATATATATATATATGTGTGTGTGTGTGTGTGTGTGTGTATATATATATATATATATATATATATATATATATATATATATATATATATATATATATATATATATATATATATATATATAATTTTTTTTTTTTCAAAATGTCTTTATACAGGGAGTGCAGAATTATTAGGCAAATGAGTATTTTGACCACATCATCCTCTTTATGCATGTTGTCTTACTCCAAGCTGTATAGGCTCGAAAGCCTACTACCAATTAAGCATATTAGGTGATGTGCATCTCTGTAATGAGAAGGGGTGTGGTCTAATGACATCAACACCCTATATCAGGTGTGCATAATTATTAGGCAACTTCCTTTCCTTTGGCAAAATGGGTCAAAAGAAGGACTTGACAGGCTCAGAAAAGTCAAAAATAGTGAGATATCTTGCAGAGGGATGCAGCACTCTTAAAATTGCAAAGCTTCTGAAGCGTGATCATCGAACAATCAAGCGTTTCATTCAAAATAGTCAACAGGGTCGCAAGAAGCGTGTGGAAAAACCAAGGCGCAAAATAACTGCCCATGAACTGAGAAAAGTCAAGCGTGCAGCTGCCACGATGCCACTTGCCACCAGTTTGGCCATATTTCAGAGCTGCAACATCACTGGAGTGCCCAAAAGCACAAGGTGTGCAATACTCAGAGACATGGCCAAGGTAAGAAAGGCTGAAAGACGACCACCACTGAACAAGACACACAAGCTGAAACGCCAAGACTGGGCCAAGAAATATCTCAAGACTGATTTTTCTAAGGTTTTATGGACTGATGAAATGAGTGAGTCTTGATGGGCCAGATGGATGGGCCCGTGGCTGGATTGGTAAAGGGCAGAGAGCTCCAGTCCGACTCAGACGCCAGCAAGGTGGAGGTGGAGTACTGGTTTGGGCTGGTATCATCAAAGATGAGCTTGTGGGGCCTTTTCGGGTTGAGGATGGAGTCAAGCTCAACTCCCAGTCCTACTGCCAGTTCCTGGAAGACACCTTCTTCAAGCAGTGGTACAGGAAGAAGTCTGCATCCTTCAAGAAAAACATGATTTTCATGCAGGACAATGCTCCATCACACGCGTCCAAGTACTCCACAGCGTGGCTGGCAAGAAAGGGTATAAAAGAAGAAAATCTAATGACATGGCCTCCTTGTTCACCTGATCTGAACCCCATTGAGAACCTGTGGTCCATCATCAAATGTGAGATTTACAAGGAGGGAAACAGTACACCTCTCTGAACAGTGTCTGGGAGGCTGTGGTTGCTGCTGCACGCAATGTTGATGGTGAACAGATCAAAACACTGACAGAATCCATGGATGGCAGGCTTTTGAGTGTCCTTGCAAAGAAAGGTGGCTATATTGGTCACTGATTTGTTTTTGTTTTGTTTTTGAATGTCAGAAATGTATATTTGTGAATGTTGAGATGTTATATTGGTTTCACTGGTAATAATAAATAATTGAAATGGGTATATATTTGTTTTTTGTTAAGTTGCCTAATAATTATGCACAGTAATAGTCACCTGCACACACAGATATCCCCCTAACATAGCTATAACTAAAAACAAACTAAAAACTACTTCCAAAAATATTCAGCTTTGATATTAATGAGTTTTTTGGGTTCATTGAGAACATGGTTGTTGTTCAATAATAAAATTAATCCTCAAAAATACAACTTGCCTAATAATTCTGCACTCCCTGTAGAAGAGTGACTTCCTGGGGCTGAGGAATGACTCTATGCCTGCAGAATTATCTCTTGCTAATTATCAATACAGATGATATGGGTGTAACCTCCTGTGTCAGAAAGACTGTTTGTATATAAACTTTCCTAAATGCTTTGATATTAAAGCAAATTATGGAGGGGGCTCTAGGCAGTATGACCACTGCAGGGAGGTGTAGTCTGATTATTAAAATGTCAATTTAAGACTGGTGTGAATCACTTTCTCCTGCAAAAAAATTGTTGAAATGGGCTGACTAGATGTGCTAACTGTATCTCGTATAACAGCACATTGTAATTACTATAAATAATCGCTTCTCCAAATTACCATCCGTATTATGTATAGTAACACTTTATTATGGTATCTGTTTTGTTTTATTTTTTTTATTTTTTTTCCTGTTTCTACATCTGCATGATGAGCTTGCATTTAGGATGCAGGTCTTGCATGGTCACAGCAGTTAGTAGACCAGAATTAATTGTGATGGTATTTTAAAGCAGTTTCTAAAGCTAAGTGCAAATGTATCATCCATTAGTGCTTGCTGTGGGGCCACTAGTGGATTACATGAATCATATCTAATCCAGTGCTGAAGGGTCACCTGTCTAAAATAATAGAGAACTTCTCTGGATAATCTCCTGAATACTTTTGAGTATTATTCATATTTTTTTACATTAGACATGGTTGGTTGACTGCGAGTGATAAATATATGGAAGTCAAATGCTCATGTTCACCTTGACTGATTTTATAACGGCTTGTTGAGGGGCATTAGAAACAGAAATGTGCATGAAGTGACAAGACTGTTGGATATCACGGTTGCAACTGTCTCTGGAACAGGAATTCATTTCTATAGTCTGGATATTGTCTGTTTTAAACCTTTTATTTTAGTGGGTAACTGTGGACATTCTCAAAGACTTAAAGGAACACTAAAGTCCCCAGAACATCTACAGCTTATTGTATTTGTTCTGGTGAGTATAATCCTTCAGGCTTTTGGCAGTAAAACTGTCTTTTCAGGAATAAATGCAGTGTTTACATTACAGCCTAGTGATAAATCCACTGGACACTCCTCAGATGGCTACTAGAGGTGCTTCCTGGGGCAGTGCTGCACCGTGTGCATGAAGACACTGAATTTTCCTCAGTGATGCATTGATTTAATGCATCTCTATGAGCACATGCTGATTGCCAGGGCTGTGTTTGGCTTGTGCTGGATCTGCCTCACTGACTGTTAGCCACTCCAATGGGAAAGCATTGTGATTGGTTCAGATCATCACTTCTGATTGTCAGCCAAGCAGGCAGATTAAGGGCAGAACCAGCAGTAGACTAGAATAAAGGTAAGCATTTACTATATTTAGGAGGGCTGGATGGTATTTTTAACATTATAGGATTGGGAATACATCTTTGTGTCCTATACATGTTTATGTCCTGATCCTATAGTGTTCCTTTAAACCATGAGTTTTGTTATAGTTGTACTTGTGCACATCTTTGTAAACTTTTGGGATATAATCTTCCTTTACCCCTCCCTTCAATCTGTCCCAATCCAAAGTAGCTGATGGAAGATAGTTTAAAACTCTATGCCTGCAGAATTAACTCTTGTTAATTATCAATACAGATGATATGTGTGCAACCTCCTGTGTCAGAAAGACTGATTGTATATAAATTTTCTTAAATAGTTTGATAAAACTAACAAACATTTAAAGCAGGTAACTGGCAAGACTGTATATCCCAACATGTAATTGTTTTTAATTCTACCACTTAGGTTAGGATCTTCCTGATGGGATTCATAGGCAACATGTACTGTTGAAATATGTACGGTTATCATTATTTGTGCAGAATTGAATGTCTCTTGATATTGATGCATTTGTGTTGAAGCCCTGAATGCTATCTAGAAGAACTATTGAAATATAAAAGTTATAAAATGTTTTATATTTATATAAACTTTTTTCCCAAATTGATGTTGTAATGTAGTCCGCAATTGTAATGTAATACTTGGAGTTGGCCAGGCTGTCAGACAATAATGAAGATACGTGATGTCACAGAAAATGAGCACGGTGTGCGATGTGACAGTGGTCATGACACTTTGTTTTTCGTTTGTGGAAATAGTTACAGGAAAAAGTCTGTGTCTTAGGCATGCACAGTGGATGCTTTGTAGGAATAATGTCTTGATGGAGACTGGGGTATAAAAAAGGGATAAAAAAATGTAAGAAAACATTGATTTATGTCACACGTTACAACTCCAGTAGCCTCCATCCAACTGTATGTATTGCTTTCTGGTTGCAAGACCACCCACACATACATTTTGAGATTTGCGCATTTCCTCTGTACTTGCATCCCAGGTCAAACGTTATTATCGCTAAGCTGGTGAGTCCGCAGTACATTTATTTATTTATTTTATATTTTCTTTCAAGATAGGTAAAGTGACCCAGCATGCAGAGTTATTCACTAAACAAAACAATAGCAGAATTTCCAAGCCCTCTGTTTCTGGCTTGGCTCTTCAGCTCTAAAAGTTTACCACAAGCAAGATGCACTGTTAAATAAGGTCCTTCTATTTTTTTTTTTTTTATTTTTTATTTTTTTATCCCCCCCCCTCTCCCCAAAATCTTCAATTGTCTCTTCTTTTGTCTCCTCTTTGTGTAGAAACGGCAATGTACTTCATTGGGGAGTATCGCTAATGGAAATGGCGTTTTATACAATCAGTTCAATGATTGTGACATGGTGTATTGGCAAATGCAGATGTCAATGGCTAAAAAGGAGCCTGTGTCAGAATTTGTTCCTCAACCTGAGAACAATATGGATTATATGGTAAATACATAAGAGTTGATAAATAATTGGTTGTGTTTTTTTTTTTTTTTTTTCTTTCATGTGTGGCTGCTAGTATAAGATTTTAACTTTTTAAAATATTTATTTTTATTTAGCCTGTGGAAAATCATGGACGCAGCAGTTCTGCCCAGCCATGTCCGAGATGTATTGCTGGGGAATCTGTAAGTATATTAACAAAGCAGAAAAAAAAATATATTTGTTCATTTACTAGATCTAAAAATTGTAGTTAATAATGGGGGGAAAAAAATTAAAAAACTTAATTTATTTTATTTTTAAATTGATTTTATGTTTTTGAGAAACAAGGCATGTAAATGATAAAGGGAGATTGATAGACTTTCTCGTGGGCAGGCAGCAGGCTTAAAATATAATTACAAATGAAACATTTTCAATGCATTTTAAGAAGCAGAGTACATTGAAATAACAAAATACCATTTCATGTTGATCCGACTAACTAAATATTGAACATACAAATAATGAGTGTGGAGCGTGGAGACAGGCAGAGTGGATTTTTATCTTTGTACCAGTATTGATTAAATCTCTTGTAAATGACATTCAAAAATGCATTATTTAGCTACCTATAATGCTGCCTCATCTATAATGTTCACTGGCTAAGTCTTCGGAATGATGAGCGTTTGGGAAAGTAATAGAGAAAGCTGAAAATTGATCTTGCCTGTCGGTTCGCATGGGCGAACATTTTCGTTCTAGATAAGAGGGTAGTTTGAAATTCATTTTACAGTGTATGTTAGGTGTCTGCAATATGTAGAGCAGATTGCCTGAAAAAGTATGTTTCAGGCGGTCTTGTGGGCTGATTCCAGAATAGAACTTGTAGAATCCTTGCTTTAAAGGAGTTATCAATCATCAGAATAATGTCATTTCAACAAGGAAGTCCCATGTTGATGTCTCTTTGCGCATCATTATAGCTGCGAGGATTTTTAAAAATCTGTGTAGCTATAATGCTGCTCTGTCTCTTCCCCTTTTTTTTAAATTTATTTATTTTGATTAGAATGTGTACATTGAGAATAACCTACTCTCTTGCTGGGGGTCTTGACATGCCCAGCATGGGGAGAAAAAGCATTGTGCCGAGCCCCATATACCCAACTGCAAAATGGGCTTTCAGTAGGTTGATCGCAGCCATGCTATGACTGCTGTCAGTTGTCTTTTTTTATTTAAAAGAAACCATGCAAAGGCTTACGTGGAAACATAGAATGTGATGACAGATAACCATTCAGCGCATCTAGTCTGCCCAATATTTTAAATACTTTTATTAGTCCCTAGCCTTATCTTCTATCTAGCATAGCCTTATGCCTATCGCACGCATGCTTAAGACTTAATCACATATCTCACAAACTCCTGCTGGATACTGACATATCCATTTTAAATCCAAAGCAACAGCAGCAACGTAATTGAGTAAGATCAAATAGATCAGGCTTTCATCTTTTAAGAAAGGTATTGTGTATAGAACACTCCAGGCTGCATTTGACACGGTCCAGTTTTAAAGGGGCGACATAACAATTGGGACTCATTGTAGCTGTAATGGTACTTAGTGTCTTACCCATTTCTATGAAACTGTATTGGAATAGTTTCACACCCAAAAAAAATTGAGCTCTTACAAATCTAAATAAGGATGTGTGCATTATACGTCCGGAGCCGTTTAGATGCTGAATACAATGTGCTTCATATCAAAGTGCGTGGTTACAGATTTTCTACCCTGTTTGAAGAAAAATGCTCTCATCCAACGTATACAAACTTTGAAGTTGACGCACACAACGTGGCCTAGTGGTTATGATCTATGCTAGAATTGGAAGCCTTAGATTTTAGGGATGCCCAAAAAGTAAATAACCAGATGTTAAACTACAACTCTTGATGCTTTGTATTGCTTGTAAAACATCTGGAGTTCTCCCTTTTTTGCACCCTGTATCTTTAATTGTCGTGAAGGACTACCCTGCTTTGGGATTTTTTGCAAAGCGTGGTCAGTCACATGAGACAGGCTGGTAGAAGGTGGAACCTGGCGTGTGTGCTACACTAGTGTCTTGCCAGCGCCCATCCGATATAGGCGGAACTAAAAAGAACTTAAAGGATCACTATAGGGTCAGGAACACAAACATGTATTCCTGACCCTATAGTGTTAAAACCACCATCTAGCCCTCCTGGGCCCCTCATGCCTCCATAAATATAGCAAAATCTTACTGTATTCAAGCCAGAAGCTGTAGATCTGCATGCAGTTTGCCTAAAAAAAAAAACAAGCAGTCTGCTGACATCGTCAGAAGTGGTGGCCTGATCCAATCGCAATGCTTCACCTTGGGATTGGCTGAGTCTGACAAGGAGGCAGAACAATTCAAACACAGCCCTGGCCAATCAGCATCTCCTCATAGAGATGATTTGAATCAATGAATCTCTGAGGGAAGTTCAGTGTCTGCATGCAGAGGGTGGAGACACTGAATGTTTGAATGCATTTTAGGCAGCCATGACCCAGGAAGGATTTCTAACAGCCATCTAAGGAGTGGCCACTGAAGTTATCACTAGGCTGTAATGTAAACACTGCATTTTCTCTGAAAAAAAGCCTGATGGTAATGATTCTACTCACCAGAACAAATTCATTAAGCTGTAGTTGTTTTGGTGACTATAGTGTCCCTTTAAAGACCTTTACTCCTAAAAGAGCTGAATATATATTTCACTTTAAATTAAAACATAAAAGGAGTCTTATTTTTTTTTTTTTTTTTTTACACATTATTTTTAATGTAATTAAATAATACAGTGAGTTTACAGGGTTAATTATTTTGGACAAGATATGTATACACTGCTCAAAAAAATAAAGGTAACAATTAAACAACACAATGTAACTCCAAGTCAATCACACTTCTGTGAAATCAAACTGTCCATTTAGGAAGCAACACTGAGTGACAATCAATTTCACATGCTGTTGTGCAAATGGGATAGACAACAGTTGGAAATTATTGGCAATTAGCAAGACACCCCCCAATAAAGGAGTGGTTCTGCAGGTGGTGACCACAGACCACTTCTCAGTTCCTATGCTTCCTGGCTGATGTTTTGGTCACTTTTGAATGCTGGCGTTGCTCGTGTGGGTTGTAGACTCCGTCTCATGCTACCACTAAAGTGGCTCAGATAGTGCAGCTCATCCAGGATGGCACATGTTTAACAATGTATTGACTATCTCTAGATAGAGATCGATATTCGCTAACAATAATTCTCGGCATACAACCTTTTATTTAGAAAGTGTTGCACTAAAGAATACATTGAGATTTATAATTTTCTAAAATGTCCTGCAACATTGTAATGTTTGGCCTGGTTAGATCAGAAAAGACCATTTGTTTCAGAAATTCTAGGCTTATTGGAATATGTGAGGTTTTCCGACAGCTGTGGAGATCTCTAAGGTTTCTTTGTTGTAATGTGGAATGAAGATCAAGGAAGTGGACCTAGTTCAAAAAGGCGGTGGAGTGGATCTCTTCTGTCTGCTTTTTATATTACATTTTTCGACCTGCCCACAATTAAAAGCATTGTATTGCTCTACATTAGCACTACTGGCATGGAACATTCAAATGTGCTATTTAATCATTTCAATTTCTCTTTCAGGGTCACATAAACCATATCCTGGGACTCTAGACAGGAGCTGACTGACCAATTGATATTGAATCCAGAAGTGAACATACATAGAACTAAAAAAACAAACAAACCAAAAAAAACACTCCTCTTTAGGATTCAGTTTTAATACTGATATATACTTTTTTTTTTTTTTTTATCTTTAACTTTCTTGTGAATTTACCACTGCCATTTCCAAGACTTATCTTTACAGTGTGACAAACTGTATCCAGTACATGCGAATGAAGAACAAATCTTCTCACCATAATCACTTTGAAAGGTGCCTTGGAAAGTCAACAAATATCGTCTAATTTTTTATTTTTTTTTACTATGGGTTTCTTACATAGAAATAATGTAATTGCACTGATTTTTTTTATTTTTTTTAACAGATTGTATAAGTACAAATAATTCAGTATTGCCACTTTTTTATATATTTAAACATTTCGTTTTAAATATTCTATATAGGGCATTAGCACTATGCAGAGAAGATATTGACACATTTATTTTTCTAAAAGCTGTTTTATAGATCAAATAACTTTTTTATCCTTTTATTGCAGTATTTCAAGATTTAATCTGTATTTTGTGTTCATCGTGAACTGATTTTGTAACTCAAGTCTCTATTTTGAGCTGTTTAAACTTTGGGGGGGTTGGTTTTGTCCTCTCTCCAATCTGATGCTTGTGTGAGTGTCTAGCATGTCTGATTGTAAAAGGGAAAAAAAAAAAAATTATATATTTTTTGCCTGTGTACTATAGAATAAAAAAAATGGGCATCAAAATCCTTTTAATTTTAGCTCTTTTTTGTGTAATTTAAGTAGTCAAATACTCTAACCAAGGTTTGTAATACAGCGGAGAGGTGTGCCTAACAATGCATTCTGACCAGGTTTATATTAAGTTTGTAAAAATTTATTACATGCTTTCTAAAGTGTGTATTTTGGGTTTGTTTGTTTTTTTTGTTTTTTTTTTTTACCTTTGTTTTGGCTTGCATTTTTGCTAGTATTTGCATGCCCCTTTAATACAACCTCAAGTGCTGGTGGTGAGGGATGCATGCAGTATGACTTGCTTTTAAAATTTCATAAATAACAACATACATGCACAAAAGTTAATGATTATCCCTCAAACCAGGAAATGAGCTGTGACTTTTGATGGCAGCAGCATGGAGAGGAGAAACTAGAAAGATGAGTTTTGGATAGGCAGTCTGAGAATGGAGAACAGATTTTTTTTATTTTTTTTATTTACATACCATAAAGCCAGGGCAAAATTGGGTCTCTCTAGATGCCCATAAACTGGCCAGCCCACCCCCATTAAATCACACATGGTACCAAACCATAAAAGCAGTAACATTTGAGTGGGGAGATGTCCGAGGGGCCAACTCCTGGACAGTAGCCTCTAGTCTTAACCTCCGCCACATAGCTCTCACCCAAGCACCAGCCAACAGAGGGTTTCTGCAAGTTACCACAGTAACACTGACACTTCAAGTGCCAGAGAAACAAGACCATGGTGCAGGCCACGGGACTATCAGGGAGCCCACTGTAGACCATGGAAGGGATTGTTGCTTCCCTCCCTGCCCAGGAGGTAAGCAAGGTTGGGCCAAACCTAAAATAAGTAAATAAAAACTAGTGGCGGGAGTCTGGACACAGAAACACAGCTTCCCTACACATTGTCACCGTGCACACACACACACACACACACACACACACACACATACACTCTCACTCTCTCTTGGCCCTCTCACTCTGCCACACTCATCCCCAACACTTTCACACTCCCTTCGTCTCAGGCTGCTACACTCACACTGTCACTCAAACTCCTCTGCTGTTTTTCCCCCAACTCAACCTGTCTCAATCACCCCTTAAGACAGTCCTCAACAATACTCACTTCTCACACATGAAACACAGCTTCACCATAAACAAAACACACAAATCTCAAAAGCAGCCCACATACACACAAGCTGCTACCCCACACATACATGCGCTCCCAGACACAGAACAGAAATTCGCACACAAGGATACTCCCTGTTAGAGACACACTCTCAGGCACACATACAGGTTGACAATACCAAAGAGACACACACGCACACAGTCAAATACACTATCAAATAGATCCCAAAAATGTAAGTTTGGATTATTTGCAGTTAGTTTTCGAAAGAGAAATTGATTTTTATCTGAAATTTGTTAGATTTATCCATATTTCTATTCAGGATTAAAGCAAGTGCACATCTCTAGTGTGTGTGTGTGTGTGTGTGTGTGTGTGTGTGTGTATATATATAATATATATATACAGTATCACAAAAGTGAGTGCACCACTCACATTTTTGTAAATATTTTATATCTCATGTGACAACACTGAAAAAATTACACTCTGTTACAATGTAAAGTAGTAAGTGTACAGACTGTATAACAGTGTAAATTTGCTGTCCCCTCAAAATAACTCAACACACAGCCATTAATGTCTAAACTGTTGGCAACAAAAGTGAATGGAAATGCCCAAAGTGTCACTATTTTGTGTGGCCACCATTATTTTCCAGCACTGCCTTAACCCACATAGGCATGGAGTTCACCAGAGCTTCACAGGTTGTCACTGGAGTCCTCTTCCACTCCTCCATGACAACATCACGGAGCTGGTGGATGGTTAGAGACCTTGCGCTCCCCCAACTTCCGATTGAGGATGCCCCACAGATGCTTAATAGGGTTTAGATCTGGAGACATGCTTGGCCAGTCCATCACCTTTACCTTCAGCTTGTTTAGCAAGACAGTGGTCTTCTTGGAGGTGTGTTTGGGGTCGTTATCATGTTGGAATACTGCCCTGCGACCCAGTCTCCAAAGGGATGGGGGTCATGCTCTGCTTCAGTATGTCACAGTACATGTTGGCATTCATGGTTCCCTCAATCAACTGTAGCTCCCCAGTGCCGGCAGCTCTCAGGCAGGCCCAGACAATGACACTCATACCACCATGTTTGACTGTAGGAAAGACACACTTGTCTTTGTACTCCTCACCTGGTTGCCGCCACACACTCTTGACAACATCAGAACTAAATAAGTTTATCTTGGTCTCATCGAACCACAGGACATGGTTCCAGTCATTCATGTCCTTAGTCTGTTGGTCTTCAGCAAACTGTTTGCGGGCTTTCTTGTGCATCATCTTTAGAAGAGGCTTCCTTCTGGGACTACAGCCATTCAGACCAATTTGATGCAGTGTGCGGCGTATTGTCTGAGCACTGACAGGCTGACCCCCCACGACTTCAACCTCTGCAGCAATTCTCTTCAGACATTTCAACTTAGGGGTGTACTCATTTTTGTTGCCAACGGTTTAGACATTAATGGCTGTATGAGTTATTTTGAGGGGACAGCAAATTCACACTGTCATACACGCTGTACACTTACAACTTTACATTGTAGCAGAGTGTCATTTCTTCAGTGTTACTTTTCTGGAATTGGTGACTGCAAGTTGGGCCCCTTACTCATTACTTGATTTTTTTTATTTGCCGGGCTATTCAATGTGTGGTGGCACATTTTGGCATTCCTGTTTCCAAGCACAAGACAGTGGGTCCGGTGTCAGTTTTGTCCTTTTTGAGTATTGAAATTAACGCTGTTTAGATGGTTTTCAGTTTGCCAGTTGAGAAGCTGATTGCTGCACCTTGTTACTCTGGCGAAAGGGGCTAGAAAGGTCCAGTTCAGATAGCTGCATGTCTTTTTGGGCCACTTGGATCTCCCGTCTGGGAGGGTTGGTGGTTAGGCATGTAGAACTGGAAGGCATCAACTTGAGTTTGAGGAAGAAGAGCGTTCATCTTAATTTAATTGGTTTAGATATTTTCAACTAGGGTCTCCAGTCGGGGTTGCAGGTTGTCCTGTCTGCGGGGGGAGCACAATGACGACTAAGGGTAGTATTTATGGTCAGCATCGTGGGGGTGGCTGTATTCCTGGCCAGTGCAAAGACAGTGGAAGAAACTCACTAATCGGCTTGGGGTGTCACAGCCTGCCAAGTCAGTTAGAGCAGTCTGTTGGAGAAGCGTCATAACAGACGACAGGTCAAACGTGTTTACTGGCATTGTTCTTGTTTATCTTAAAAAAACAAAACAAAAAAAAACAAACTGTTTTTTGGGGGGTCAGCAGTCATGTCATGTCGTGATATATTCTAGCACAAACCTGCTGATCTGGACACCTTTTACGATTCAGCTTTTTGGTCTAAAAGGTGCAAATTCCATCTCAATTCTCCATATTTAGTGGGGGAGGGGAGACTCTGGATAATGGATTTGAATCCATCCTTTCTTAGGCCACTTTTTACATGTATTTATTGCACTAATATACTTATAATATAAAAGTGCTGCAAATGCCCAGCTGGAAACTCAAAAGCAATCCTCTAGTTTTATACAGATAAAATAACAGGAGACCGATGTTTTAAAAAAAAAAAAATTTAATGGAAAGCAGATACATCTGTGATCCTGTATAAAACTGTCAAAATTTCTCCCAGCCAATCTCCATCAAAATTGAGTGAAATTGCCCATTGAAGTATGTCTTGTCTGTGTTTGACAACTGATCATTATGTTATTAGTGAAATTGCTAGGAGTAAATCTGCGAGGCATGTGTTTCCAACACAGGGTGTCATTCCTGAGTTTTATAGCCATGGCAGCTTCTCGTACCTAAAAGAAACATGCACCACTTTAAATTAGAAGTATGTCTCCCCAGGGACACCCCTTCCGTTTTTGATCTATTTTTGATTTAAAATGTAAAAATTAAAAATTAAATCAAATGGCGATAATACTCCTACAGGAAAACATACTTCAGTTATGAAGTATTCCCAAAAGAAACCTGGAGAATCTTACAGCTGTATTGTCTCATCTGTAGGTGGTCTTTTATGTCAAACATAATTAAAATGAATTGCTTTTAGGAAGCCCCTACCACTGCATACAGATTTATTAGCCGGCTGTCACTTGCGTTCACATGCACACAATGCTATGTAAATCTGTTGAGGTTGAGCAATCATAACGTATTTCCTATTGGGTGATAAGCAGAAAAAAATACTTTTTTAACATTCTATTCAGACTAAGTGAAGTTTTGGCGTTACATGAAAGAGATAATTGCTGATGCAGAAACGTGTTTGTGGCCAAATGTTAATGTTCGTCATCACCAACCCGCTCAGTTCAATGATGGTCATAGATGATGATTTAATCCTACAACAGAGTGACAGAGGCATAATAATGAGCATACCCAGAATGACAGGGATCCTCTAGTCATGCACTAGACAACCAGATTTGTTATATGGCCTATGCCCAACTGCAGGTCACTTGCCATCTTGTAACACGGGGTGGCAATTTTATATTTCTGCCCCAGGTGCCATATAACCTAGGCACACCTTTGACCCTACACTACCCTAACACACTACATTTAAACATTAATCACTACAATACCATAACACTTATCGTAACGTTAAAATATTTGATAACAGTAAAGCATGAATTGGGACACAAAATATCTTTAGAAGCCCTCCACACCCTTTTTTTCGTGTGTGTGTGAATTTTGTGTCTTTCAAACTTTGACCTTGATTTAATACTTTTGGATAAGCTTTAAAAACAATTTAAAATTTTTGGATAGGCCTTTAAAATTGAATTTTTTTTTTTTTTTTTTTCAAAATCTTAAAATATCAAAAAAAATATAAAAATATTTTGAAATAATTTTAAAAGTTTATCCAAACAATTCAAATGAGGATTAAGTTTGCTATAGCCTTCACACAGTGTGAATAGCGATGATCATATATTTGATGTCACGTAAGGATAAAGGGATTGTACAGTAACCCATTCAGTACCAAATATTAACAAAATACGTTACCCAAATCATATATATGTATATCAGTCTTTGAAAAGTTTTTGATGTTGCCAGTTAAAACATTCTGCGGCACCCACTCGCCCTCCCTTCTCAAAAAAAAAATATATAAAATCTCTTGTGGAGCTTAAAAATCATACAGATAGACTATTTTACCCTGTGATAAAGGAAACAATTGTAATTATGATCCCTCTGAATGTACTAAACGTAATGTGAACCCCACTGAGACTCCTTTCTGGAGTGTCTTTTTGATATTAAAATAGAAGGAATTTGCAAACGACTTTACATTTCCAGAACTAAGTAAATTTAAACAAGGGGCAAGTTCCCTTTACAGCACATTAGCTGCGACAACAGATTTGAAAGTATGAATTCAACCATTTTGTAACCCCAGGGCTGTTCATTAGATTATAGTACTCCCTATCTGACTTGCGCGAGTACATTACACAGTAGTTTTTAAGCCATAATTTCCATTAATAATCACAGCCATGTCTGTAGATTATTTTGGTAATTACCTTACATAAAAAGACTACTGAGAATGATCACAAATGTGCCTTTGTCTTTTATAGTCCCCTTTCATGGTTAATACCAGATGTTTGAGAATCTTGACTTCAACAATTTATATCATATCTGTGCGAGCTTCAAAAACCTTAAATAATGACTCCAGGGTAATAATGCCTAATACTGTACAAATTGGTAGGAAAACTGTTCAAAGTTTAGGCAATGAACATGACTACTGTTCGGCTGACTTATGAATTAAATCCCACAAGGATGAAACATACACCTTACATATTAATTACATTAATGTAAAATAGCAGATTTTTTTTTAACAGACTAAAAATGTAACAATTATATCCTTTTGATGACAGGGTGATTTATAATCAAAGGCAGAATTAATGAGAACACTGAGAAAATGGCAAATATTCAGTGTCTTGGGGTAAAATATGGCCTATACAGAACATTTTATCAGAAAAATGAGTGAATTCAGGATCACAAACTGTTACTATAATTAGTGGTTTGTAAACACATTATTCTAGTGCCTCAGTCTGAGCACCTGTTCAGGTACGTTTGTCCTCCTGTACTCGGCATATACCATTCGGTGACCTACTTTATCCAGAACAGAGTTGGGTACTTGCATTCCAAATTGTACTGTTGGGTAGTGATGAATGAAAATTGCTAAGAACCATGGGAATCCTTGTTCTCGCATGTCACATTAGGCAAAGACACAATAAATGTGGCACATTTCAGATTTTGTGAATAATTAGGCTCTTCCAGACTGAAAATGACAACAAAGTCCATAAAATAAAGTTACAAAAAAAATATATAAAACACCATATCTCCCAGTCTAAACTTGAAGCAAAACTTTTTTTTTTTTTTTTTTACTTATCCTTATATTTAAGAAATATGTGTTTGAGGGGAATTAAATAAAATTAAATGCAGAAATCCACACTTGTTTCGTCTGCAACTGGATGACTCCATGTTAGCTTTTTGTCAGTCATTGTTAGAAGCTCCTCTCATTTCACTTGAGTTTGAGCTAAAATTCATTCAAGTCCAAATAAGTTATGTTTAAAATAACACTCCAATTACCATAACCACTACAGCTCTTTGCAGTAGCTATGGTGGCAGGATTGCCTTGGTGAACCTCCCCATTATTGTAAGTAGTTGAACCATTTGTTTGTCTTTTTTTTTCTTTTTTGAATGGTTTTACTTTGTACCTGGGGTTCACTAGGTGGCACTTCACACCTCCACTACTAATGCTGGAGAGACGAAAGTTCCGAAAGCAAGAATCAAATGACGCTCTTAACCAATAAACTAGCCATTTACTACAGGAGACCCAACAAATTTCTATCCAGTGTAACAGAGGCCCAGAGGAGCGACTGGTGGACCCCAGGTAAGAAATTGTCACGGAACTATCTTCCATTAATTTGATAGCTTCAGCTTTCACTCCGCAGATGCCAAGGGAATGTCTTTATGTACTCCTTTAAATAGTGGCTGGAATTACTGCATAGACAGAGACAATCTGCTTCTTTTCAGGACAGGGTGAACTCAAGCAATTTAAACATTCTAAGTCAGTGTGTCTCAACCTTTAATGGAGATGTACCCCTGCAGGTCTTAAACAAAATTCTAAGTGCCTTTGTCTCAAGAAAGTAATTTCAAATGAAATGTGTAGACACGGATATTCAAGTTAATTCCATATTGGAGAACGAGCTTGGTTAAAGGTAGTAAAGGGTATTTTTAAAATAAATATGACATAATGTGAATGTTGTGTATGTAAAGAGGGGTGTATAATCTATTAATCTGAAGTTTAAAAGTCACAAAATGAAAATATAATACATAATAGATACACACAGAGGACACTGACACACATTTATGCACAGAAGACTCTGACGCACATGTATACACTGAGGCATACAGTTACACAGAGCAAACTGACATGCTCACATTACACACAGAGAACTCACTCACTGACCGATACTCTCACTGATTTTAGACACACTGACAAACACACTCACTGATTTAAGACACACTGACACACATGTACATTCTCTCACAATTTTTTTTTTTTTTTTAATGCAAGTCCACCCAGCTTCCCTACCTTTTGGATAGATCGAGTGAATCCTTTCCCTGAGGTTCAGGGGGATATAGGGGAGGAGGGGAGACACCTTGTGTAATATTCGTTCTCTTCCAGCACTGTTCTCTCACACGCTGTTTAGAGATGACAGGGCCGGAGTGACGTTCTAACCCGGCATCACTGGAGGGCTCGAGGGAAAAGTGCTGGAGGAGCACAGACATCAGTGCTCCTTTGCCTCCCACCTTCATTCCTTTCTCCAGACTCTGCACATTTAGGCAGAGTAGGCACCTGCTCTCCGGGTAAGTTGGTGCCTACTCTGCCCTAGCTCACAGACGGCTGTCTTATGGGCAGGGCCGGTGCAAGGATTTTTGCCGCCCTAGGCAAAAGTAAAGTTTGCGGCCCCCCCCCCATGTGACATTACAATGCTCCACCCATATGATCTGCTGTTAACTAACGACAGTGCTGCAGTGCCGCCGTGTTTACATTATAAGGCATGCAGGGACAGGCTAGAGACACCAGAACAACTACATTAAGCTGCAGTGGTTCTGGGGACTATAGTGTTTCTTTAATGTGAGGTAAATTAGAGATTAGTGCCACGAATAATATACTAGATTGCCTACTTACGAGATGAGGATGATGATGGGCTCTAGCTGCAGTCTGGCTCCACTGGTCTGGTGTAGAACAGGCTCTCTGGAGGCTGTTTGTAACTGTGGTCACAAAAATCAATGTTCTGGGAGAACGGTAAGCAGCTCCATTTTTTGGGGGCCCTTTACACAGCTCAAGGTCTGGGTCCCAGGGTCCACCTTCATGTTCCACCAATGAGTTTGTTCACAGGGGGTGGAGTGTGTAGGGGATGTCCTGATATGTGTGTAAGGAATGCATTGTGTGAATCTGTGTTTGTATGTGTAAGGGCTGCAAGGTGTGTTTCTGTGTATGTACAGGATGCAGTGTGTGCGTGTGTAAGGGGTGCATTGTGTGTAAGGGGTGCATTGCATGTGTGTGTGATGGATGTCAATCTCTCCCCCCTCCCTTGTCACTCTCTTCTACCCCCTCTCCCTTGTCACTCTCTTCTCCCCTCCCCCTTCCCACTCTCATTGCCCCTCCCTCCCCTGTCACTCTCACCCCTGTCAATTTCTTCTCCCCCCACCAATTTCTTCTTCTCCCCCCTCCCCTACCAATTTCTTCTTCTCCCTCCTCCCCTACCAAATTCTTCTTCTCCCTCCTCCCCTACCAATTTCTTCTTCTCCCTCCTCCCCTACCAATTTCTTCTTCTCCCCCCTCCCCTACCAATTTCTTCTTCTCCCCCCTCCCCTACCAATTTCTTCTTCTCCCCCCCCTCCTACCAATTTCTTCTTCTCCCCCCTCCCTACCAATTTCTTCTTCCTCCCTCCCCTACCACTTCTTTTCCGCTTCTCCCCCTCCCCTACCAATCCTTCTTTCCCCTCCCTCCACACTTTTCTCCTCCCTCCCCATTTCTTTTCTCCCCCTCCCCTACCAATTTCTTTTTCTCCCACCCTCCCCATTGTAAAGGCAGTAGTGGCAGCGCCAGTGAGGGGGCTGATGGTTGTGTTATGCATGCATAAAGGGATCTTTTTATCAAGCTGTATGTGCGGCTAGGGGCTATAGTGTGTGTGTGGCTACACGCATGTGTAGGTGCTGTAAAGAATGTGTATATGTCTGGGGGCTGTAGAGAATATCTTTCAGTAGGACCTGTTGTATGACTGCATAAGGGCTGCATTGTTTGTGTATAGGCGGTGCAGTCTGTCTCTGTGTGTGTGTGTAAGGGGTGGGAGAGGGGCTTTTTGGTGGTGGTGTGTTTTTTTTTTTTATTTTTTTTTTTTATGAATCTTTCTAAAGAATCTGGATAGACTAAAATATAATCAATAATGAAAAGCAAACCTTTATCAATAGATTTTGTAAGCATTAGTTTAAGTATTAATTATTGCATTGCACTTTATGGTTTTTTGCAATTGATTTTTTTTATTTTTTATTATTTGTACTTATATGCCGTCTTTAAATGAAGAGTAGCAAAATAGAAATTCGTTCCAGTGGCGGCATATTTTGTGATATTTCTTATTTTAATGTTCACTTTGTAAGTGCTTTTTTGTCTTGTGTTTTATTTATTTATTTTTACTTATAACATCTGTGTCAAGTTTAAAGCCTTTACAACAATACCTTCCCAATAGAGAAGTACAAAAATGAATAGTGTATAGTGTAAGATTGCTGTGATTGGTTATCTGGTCTATTACTGTATAAATAATTCTCCAGCTAAGTTAGTTTCACTTTTCCATATGTATTCTTAAAAAATCCCTTTTTATGGGGTTGTTGTAACTGGCAGACACCTTTTTGAATTCATTTATTTCTATAGTGATTACTGATCGTCCGATATTCGTTAAATAAACAAAACATTTTATTGAATTTCGGACAAAACAAATAGATATACTAACTAATTTCAGATTAACCAAAAAGTTTAAATTTTAGACCAAACCGAAACGAAAATGCTTTTCATGCATATCTTTGATTATATGTGATATTATATGATCATGTAGCTTACTGGCAGGAGCAATTCTAATTGTACTATTTTAGCTTTCATTTATGTTGCTAAAGTAACCTTTTCATAATTGTATACTTACATTTATATAGCAATGTTAAAGGACCACTATAGTGCACTGAGGGTGCCCCCACCCTCAGGGCCCCCCTCCAGCCGGGCTCTAGGGGGTGGAATGGGTTAAATTTACATCTTTCTCCAGCGCCGGGCGGGGGACTCTCCTACTCCTCTCCTCCTCCATATCGCCGTCATCGGCTGAATGCGCATGCTCGGCACGAGACGAGCGCACATTCAGCTATTCAGAAAATCACGCGCACATTCAGAACATCACAGCGAGAAGCGCCTCCATCGGCTGTCAATGAGACCGCCACTAGAGGCTGGATTAACCCTAAAGTAAACATAGCAGTTTCTCTCTGAAACAGCTATGTTTATAGAAGAAAGGGTTAATCCTAGCTGGACCTGGCACCCAGACCACTTCATTAAGCTGAAGTGGTCTGGGTGCCTATAGTGGTCCTTTAAAAGATGTACATAAGTCCGTATCATCTCTCCATTGTAATAGGCTCTACAAAAAATACATATACATTTTACTGGAAAATGAAAATATATTCAATTAAAAAAAAAAGTCCACTAAACAAGACTCTATTTGTCAAAAAATGGCGCTCCAGTGAAAAGTGTGATTTCTATATCACAAATTCAGCTATTGTGATTCTAGTCAATTTAATTTCTCTGTCCATTTTATCTAAAAACAATATATTTTCATGTTTTTAACTGTTGCCTACAGACAGATGAATGCTTTCTGTGTGCCTTTTTGTGGCCATAAAGCGAAATATGTAGAGTGGTTACGGTGCAATTTTAAAAGTGATAACCAAGCACTATATTTAGGTGCTAAGTATGGATGAAGAATTTAAGATTTTTTTTTTGCAAGAACCAAAACAAATTTGTGACTTAAAAGTTAAAAAGAATCAGTTACTGTATTGTGCACAAACCGCAAATTATTGTATAACACTAAGTGTACACTGTGTAAAACACAGTGCTTTAGTGCAAGATAAAATCACTTGTGTAAAAGTAAAAAAAAAAAAAATTCCAATAAACCAGTGTATAAGAAATAGTTTAGATACCCATAAAACAGTTTTTTCACCGGGGCATATGAACCTTGAGGCTTGTTTTCTCCAGATTCAAGAACATCCAATGAGGTTTTTTCGCAGTTTGGGTCACGTGGTATTGTGAAATACTGTAGATTTTTATCGTAACTGATTCCAATCACTGGTTGCTTCACAATAGCTGGTTTAGTTGGTGTATTTTCCACAGAAAATATTATCCAAACCTGATAAATGCACTGGAATAAAAAAAAAATGTAAAAAAAAATTTCATCATCAAATTACCCATTTGTAACCATAATGTTGTTTTTGTTTAATTCTGAGGTGAAATCAATAAATGAATTATTGCCATAATACAAAATGAAAACCTATTGCAATATGTTAGGCCACAAAAAACTTATTTTTACAATATTTAATTTGTTCAGTTTCACACTAATAATATACAATTCTGCGATATTTGACTTAGTAAATTGTTAGTTAAATGATCCCAGCTCCGCTGAGAGGCCTGGTGTACGTTAGGTACCTGATTATGATGATGATTCTGGCTGTCATCAAGGAATTAAATACAAACTCTAGGAAGCAATTGTGAACTGCTGAAGTTCCTAGTCAGGCAAATAAATTGGATTTAAGTATATTACAGTCATAATCTTTTTTTTCCTCTCTCCAGACAGACTTTGCACACTGAGAATGAGAATGTATTCTTAGACAAATCTTGACCTGAGGGAATGTGGATTTTCAATAATATAAGACAATAAAGTATAGTCATCTATCCTCCTGCAATATGGTAACAGTATATAGAGCTTAGCAACTAATAAAAGAAAACAGCCTTCTAACGCTGTATCTTATGTTTGGTACTGTACAAGGGCACTTCATAAAATAATAATGAACTAGTTGCGTCTATGTTTGTTAGTCTAGATGTAGTGAATATGGCTCCATCATGCATTGCAAGAACCTTGTAGGTTTCAAACGTTATCTTGCTTGTTTTTGGTTCTTAGTGTTTCATGGAATCTTAGTGTTAGTTAAGAATTTAGTTCCGTGTAAGATTTCAAACCTACGTGATCTCTATAGTAAGCCTGATTATGGTGTGTTGCATTGATATGTGTTCTCGTGGTTCCTTCAAAAGTACCAATTAAAGGGGAAACTCCACTGCACTGCAAAATAAATAATCACCATTTAGTATAGATGCCCTAAAATAAAACCTGTTTGCATTTAAGTATGATTTTTTTTTTCCCAGTAGGGGTATATATAAAAACAGCTTGCAAAACCTGCAGTTCTCTTGTCTCCTGCCTTTGCAAGCTCTCCCATTTTAACACCACCCAGATTTCCTGTGGCTCTCCAATAACACGCTCAATGCAGCTCAATGAGAAGTCTTTGCAAGGCAGGTGCAATCTGAGCAATTGCTGCCTCTAAAATTTAGCTCAACTGAGCTAACCAAACCAGAAAGTAACAGGAGTAGTTGTCTGATTGAAAGCAAGGGGATGTAACCATTTTAATTTATAAAAGTGTCAATTTCTATTGAAATCTGCACTTTCTGCAAAAGGAAAAAAGTGGGCACACTCTTTACACAATTGCTTAATGGTTCTGGAATGTCCCTTTCAGGAACACTTAAGCACATAACCACTGCACCTTGCTTTAATACAGGGGTCCTCAAACTGCGGCCCCCCAGATGTTGCTGAACTAAAACTCCCATGATTCTCTGGCTATCTAGGTAATTCAAAGAATCATGGAAGTTGTAGTTCAGCAACACCTGAGGGCCACAGTTTGAGGACCCCTGCTTTAATAGTTATGGTGCCAAGATTGCCCCAGTACTTGCTCCCCTCCCCCATTGTAAGTAGTCAAACCATTTTAGAATTGATGGACTTTTTCACTAATGTCTGCTGGGCGCCGCTTAAATCCTACACTACTTTAGGCAGAAAGACAAAAACTTTCTGTCTTAGCTAAGTCTGACTGTGCAGGGCTTAGCTCATTGACTGAAAGTGATCGGCTGACATTCTCAGCCAATCAGCTATCCCCTGCACTGCAGGGCTTATCTCTGGATGGAGAAAGGAAGCTTCTGCTTAGAAGGGTATGGCTTTCTGGCAGAAGTAGTGAGCTAACCTTTTGAAGTTAGATAGCTAGAAGGTGATAATTAATGGTGTGCAATAGAGCAAGCTTAAGTCCCACTGTTTTTCTGAATCAAAAGTAAAATCATCAACCAGTTGACAAACTAAAAGGACATTACGGGCACCAATAGAATTTTAATGCGTTTGATAGGCTTTGGCCTCTTTAATATGCTGTATTTTTTGCATGCTCGGTTCTTTATAGTTTTTGCATAAACTAAATAAATATTTTACAGAATTCTGCACCATAAGCCTGCCTCCTTAGCCACACCCCCTCACTACAGAAAAACACTTCCTTATCAAATGTATGTAATTAATAAACATTTAAAAGAAAATCGAGCATCATATGATAGTGATTTTCCATGCTTTATCCACTGGTGTGGTTAACAGAAAAGTGACTATTTCAATCAGATGGTCTTCTAGAGACATTAAAGGACTGCAGCACGGTGAAAAGGAAAGTAAAGCATATTTTTTTTGTTTCACAAAGAACCTAAACTGTTAACATGGCTCTATAGCATTAGAAATACACATTTGTATCCCCAACGCTATAGTCACCAGAACCATTACAGCTTAATGTAGTGCTTCTGGGTTCTTTAGCACGTCCCAGTAGTCTTAGCACTGTAGACATTGCTGACTAGTAACACCTCTAGTGGCAGTCACTCAGACAGCCACTAGAGGTGCTTCCTAGTGTGCATTACTGTCGTTCAGCGTCTCCACACTTTGCACAGAGATGCTGAAAATTCCCTATAAAGATACATTGATTCCATGCATCTCTATGAGGAGATGCTGATTGGCACAGTGTGGCGTTTAGCTACACATGCAAAATAGCCTCCCAATGCTTTCCTATGGGAAAAATATGATCTTGAGCCATGGATGCGCAGCTAGCCACTCCGCTCCAAGCGCAGCATGGGACTAAAAGGTGAGGAAAATAACATTTTCCATGCGATACAAGGGGGTTCGGGACCTAAATAGTTAATTTAACAATATAATGCTCTTTTAAGGCCAAAGCAACCAAACTGGAAGTATGGCTAACTTGGAGAAGTTTTCCAGTCTAGCTATTATGGCCTTAAATATGATCTACAATTGAAATCCTTAACAATTCTCACTTTAGTGAATAACTCTGTAAGAGTGGTTAAACATGGACATAGAACTGTAGCCCATGGGCATCTGTAATTCCAACTATTTTGATCACTGGATTTTATTGAATTTGATATAAGTAAATTAGTAAAAGTAAAAATATTTCTTTAAAATTATCCAAAAACAAGGAAAATTAAATATAGTGTTGATAACCGTTTTAGTATCCAGAGTCCAGTGATATGAAAATACACTTATGCAAGCTTCTCAGTCTTTTGTACCATGTGGTAATTTTCCATATAAATAAGCAGTTGCTAGAATAGTTACACTGCTGAAGGTCAATGATCCATATAATGTCGACCGTTACAGTATTACTACGCCTGGTTTCATCAAGGGAAGGAGGGGGGGGACGGGGACGTAAGTGGTTGGAGACAAGTAAATGCGGCAAATTGAAACATCCTGCTATTGTGTGTGTACATCTTTCTATGAATATTTTAGGGACGAAGGGAACACGTTCATAGTTATCTATCATATGTTAGAGTATTTAGCAGTGTGGCTTAGGCATGAATCTTGCATATTTAGTGAGCTTCAAAAACAAAATTATTTAACACATTATTTATGGTCTGCAGTGTTCTAGTAACTTGGTAGAGCTATGCAGAACAGTTTAACCCCTTAAGGACACATGGCAGAAATATTCCATCATGATTCCCTTTTATTCCAGAAGTTAAGGGGTTAACGGAGACAATGTTTGGTTTTATTATAAGCTGCCTACATACAAAGCATTGTTCATGAGTCGTCACAAATTTGTGCTCTGATTAAGTTTTCTGTACTATGACGGGTTATTTAGCATATTTATAATTTATTTCCAGTTTCTTTTTAATGCAGACCTATAATGTTATTCACTAAACTGTGAATTGTTAAAAATTTCAAATGAATGTAAAATTTTAGGCACATGTGACAAAACCGAAATCATACAATGTTATTTAATAAAGTTAGAGAATTCAAAGTGATTTTTAAAAAATTATTATTAAAGGCCAGAGTAGCCAAATTGAAAGCACAGCTGACTTTGGCTATTTTTTATTTATTTATTTATTTTACACTTTGGCTATTTTGGTTTTACATTTGAAAATTACTTTGAATTTAACTTGAATTCTAACTTTAGGAAAAAAACGTGACAGTTCCCTATATTGGCCTAAAAAGTTATGGCTGCTTTGAATTTCTGACAAGTTACATTATACTAAATAAATAGCCCTGATAGACTATACCTCACTCCTCTGTTATCTGCTGAAAGCTTTAAAGTAAAAACAAAACATTAACAAGATATTTGAAAAAGTACAAAAAAAACTACATATGTGCTACAAAAAAACATACTTTTTTTTTTTTATTGCTTAAAAATGGATAAACTTTTTTTGTAACAAAATTTCTGTATCTATCTAGTCTACAAATGGCCAATCGTAGGTCTCTAGGAACCCTGTGTGAATAATCCTTGCAATGTAAAAATTCATTGAGATCAAGTGGTCTGGGTACCTACAGTGTCCCTTTAAACTTGTAATTGCATTATAAGTATAATTGCTACATAAAACAGCTGTAAACAATCATTATTACACTAATATATAAATTGCATATGTACATTAAGGTGCAGATATAGAGTCCTGAGAAATATAGTGTCAGGACGTCATGTAATGCAGACTCTTTTTTCCCCAAGTACGGTGAGTGTGTGGCGTGTGTGTGTGTACATTTATGTCTGAGGGTTGTAGAGATTGTGTGTGTCGGCAGGGCCTGTAGTGTGTGTATTTCAGAGATGTAGGGTATAGTGTGTGTGTGTGTATGTTTATAGGGGCTGTAGTCTTTGTGTACATGGAGCCCAGTGTGTGCTTGGGGGTATAGCATATGTGTGTAGGGGTTATGAGTGCATGTAAGGGGTATAGTGTGTGTGTGTGTGTGTGTGTGTTACCGACCCTGGTAGTCCTAGAGCTGGTTACTTGCTAATATAGATTCCCTGGTGCAGTGGTAGAACTAATGAAGAGTGTGTCACGGTGCCTCATCGGCACCTCATTGTGACCACACTTGACCAGTGCGGTCACGCAATCATGGTGCCCGATCGGCACTGCGATGTGACTGCATCTGATCGGTGCATTCACACTAAAGGAGGCAGAGGTTACTTACCTTGCCTCCAGCGCCTCTCCCTCTGTGCAACTCCTATGAAAGCAGCCAGGTCCAGCGTTAGGAAGGATGCCGGCTGCTATTTGATAGCGCCGCCCACAATCATGTCATTAGTGACGTGAAGGTGCGTGCGGCGTCACGTTTTCACCATCCACGCACCTTCTAGGGTCATGGGACCCAAATTAGCAAATAGCAGGGTTTATGTTTTTTTTTTTTTTTTAAACCCAAACCTGCAATTGTTCAGTGCCCTGTCATGGTTTCCATCCTGTTGGTTATCCAAGAGCCCATTCCTGTTACTAGTATTTCTGGTTTTCCTGACCCTTTGGCTTTGTTTATTCTGTATTTGTTCCTTTCTTTATTCCTGACCTCGGCTAATTACTCGTTATTCTTTACATTAAATTCGGCCATTCTAACAAACCGTAATGTTGTTACTGTTTGTTATTTTGTCCGTGTTCCATACTTCTGCGTGTTGGGCCACAGGTTCGTCCTGACATTATGACAGGGTTGTGGACCCTGCAGAGTTAAGTCAACACATGTTGGCTTGTGAAAGAAGGCTGGAAGAAAATGATCACCATATGGATCAATTCGCCCAGGCCTTTCAGACATTGTTGGCTCTTACTGCTCACCTCCAGTCGGAGGATCAATGGCCTCCTCCAGCCCCTCCTGTCGCTGTTGTACCCATAGTTTACAAGGCCCCATCTGTATCCCTCTCACCACCCTCTCATTTTGGGGGTAATGCTCGGAATGCCGTGGTTTTCCTAACCAAATTGAGTACCACTTTGAGGCCTCTGCCAAGTCTGCTACCTCTTAGTTATCAGGGACCTTGGAGTACTTCATGTCTGTCCAGTCACCGAGGCTTATCTGGGATCACGGAGTGCCTTTTCCACCCTGGACCAGGCTAATGTGCTTACAGCCATGGACACCCTTTCCATCAGCAGATTATATCCCTTTCCCCAAACACCAGACAACAAATGGTGAAGGTTAACCCAGCAACTCAACTTTACTAGACATAGCACACACTATAGTATAAGGAAGGGTGGGGTCAGACAATAGCAAGGGCTGATAGGAGATTGAGGAGGGACAAAGCAGCTTTTTTAAACTGGTCTGGCAGGGACAAAGCAGTTTAAACGCCCTGCTGGAGAAACAATAGGACAAGAAAAAAGGGGGAGGGGGAGAGGCACAGACAAGCAATACATTCAACATACCCTGCCCCAATAATGGGCACAGGGAGACCAAAATGAGAAAGGAATCTGGGGACCCACACATACTTGGTTCGGTAAATGAACGGGGGGGGAGGGTGTACGGCCGAACAAAAAGGAATAAAAGTGTAGCTAGAGCATCCATTCCGCTACATAAAGAATTGGGTATTGAACTGGCTTTTTCTTCATGTTAGAATCCCCAAACTAACAGGACAGCCAAAAGGGCTAATCAATCTCTACGTTGTTTCGTCAACGATACCCAGGATAATTGGTTTGACCTCTTGCCTGGGGCAGACCCCTTGCCTGGAACAACGCTACACATGACTCTTCCAAACGTAGTCCTTTTTATGTTGTTTATGGTTTCCACCATGCAGCCTTGCCTTCTGTGTTCTCTGATACCAATATCTCCACTTTGAATGAACAGCTGACCTCTAAGAGGAAAACTTGGGATCAACTACATACTGCCTTATACTGCTTCCCATTTTAAGCTACATGCTGATAAGACATACTGCTGCACCTTCTTATCAAGTAGGGGACAGGGTTTGGCTGTCCACTAAACACATTAGACTCAGGGTACCATCTATGAAGTTTGCTCCTCAATACATTGGTCCTTTTCGTGTGTCACATAAGATCAATCCAGTGTCTTATGTCCTTGAACTCCCTGCCAACCTTCGTATAACTCGTACATTTCATGTTTCTCTATTAAAACCTCTTATCTGTAATAGGTACACTACACCTTCTGCACCTCCTCCTCCCTTGGTGGTAGCGGGTCAGAAGAAGTGCGAAGTCTGTTCTGTTTTGGACTCCAGGTTCTTCCGGGGTTCTTTGCAGTATCTGGTGGATTGGAAGGGTTATGGTCCCGAGGAGCGCTCCTGGGTCACTGCTGTTGACGTTCATGCTGGGTGCCTTCTTCGCTCTTTCCATACTCGATTCTCTGATAAGCCTGGTCCTTCCCACCCAGTGGGCGGTCTTTGTGTGGGAGTACTGTCAAGTAGCCCAATCGGCACCTCAGATCTTTGGGCCCCTGCATACAGCAGAGGTGGTCAAAAAGTGGATCCTCAGTTGCCAGACAACTCCAACAATGCTTTGCCATGTCTATCTAATTATCTATCCTTGCAGGGTTCTATTTTTGTGAATGTTGGCGTGTTTTCTTATGGAGTATATTTGTTTTAATGTTTGTGTAGAGGCTGTGTTTGTGTGTAATGTTGGCATTTAAATGCAAAAATGTGTGTAGTGTTTGCGTTTGAATGTAAAGTTATTCTATGTAGTGTTGAATGTGTTTGAATGCAGGGGTATGTTTTTGTTTAGTGTTGGTATGTAAATGCAGGTTTGTGTGTAGTGTTGGTGTTTGTATGCAGGACAGCTTTTATGTACAGTGTTGGTGCTTGAATACAGTGGTGTGTTTGTGTGTAATATTGGCAAGTGCATGCAGGATGTATTCACAAACACACATACACAGCCACATACACATACAGGTGCACATTGCTAAAGACAGAAACACACATACATTAAACACACAGATGCCCACAGACACATTTACACACAGAAGAGATACATGTAGATTGACACACAAGCACAGATACACACACACATCCACAAACACTGACACACAAGCACAGATTCATACAATGACAAACAGAATCAATCACTCTCTTCTTCCTATGGTGCACACTTAAACTGTCTACCGCCAGTTGTCTCTGCCTACCTCCTCCCTCACTTGCACCCGTACATGATCTAAGCCACTGCCGCAGAGACATACTAGGAATGGCAGATGGATTACAGTAGGATCTGGTAGACTTAGAGTTGTGGATAAAAGGCATTTTGCACAGTCTGTTGCTCTTTATAATTCATTTTCTGCACTTTCAGAGTGTAATGGTGTTGTGGAGAGAGGCACTGAGGCTAGTGGTGTTGTGGAGAGAGGCACTGAGGCTAGTGGTGTTGTGGAGACTGGCTTGGAGACTATGGTGAGGCCTAATAGAAAGCAGTTGTTGTTGGGGGATTCGATCATAAGAGGTGTGGAGAAGGACAATGGTGGTCTTGTGAGGTGTCTTCCCGGAGATACTGCTCGCAGAGACAGGAGACGTATCTGTAATATTGTTAAGCAAGCAAAGCAGGAAGGGGAATTGGATGTACTTGTCCATCTAGGGACAAATGACTTGGCTTGCAATGAGTTTTCAGAGGTTAAGGAAGTTTTTAGTGTTTTTGCCAATGATATATGGCAGGTTGCTTCCACACTGTCATTCTCTGAAGTTTTGCCTGTGCATAACACTCAGAACGACAGGCGGATGCGTATTAGGGACTTTAATTTGGTGTCGGGAGCAAGGATTTGGCTTTATTTCTCATGGTAGCTCTGTTTGGAATGGAGATAAGCTGTACAAAAAAGATGGTTTGCATCTTTCTTAAAAGGGAACAAATGTTCTCAGTGAGCAGTTCAGAGGTTTTGCTAGGATGTATTTAAACTAGGAGGGGGGGGGCAAAAGGGTGATAAAACATCAATCCAATTGTCCCCAAAACAAGGACAGAAGGTGCATGTAGCAAGTGTGTTAAAAAATAAGCTTAGAGTCATGTCTACAAATGCTCGCAGTTTAGGGAATAAGATCCATGAACTTGTGGCAATAATGGCAACTGATAGTGTAGATTTAGTCGCTGTTACTGAGACATGGTATAATGACATGACTGGGACATAGCAATACCAGGGTACTCTTTATATAGGAAAGATAGGGAAGGCAAGATAGGGGGAGGGGTGGCCTTGTATGTGAAGGATAGCATAAAATCTAGCCTAATAAAAGTTAGTGAGGCAAACATAGAGTCCGTTTGGGCTACGTTAGAATTTGGTAATCACACAGTAACTCATGTAGGTGTGATTTATAGGCCCCCTGGACAAATTGAAGAGTTAGATAATCTACTAGTTGAGGAAATAGCTAAAATGACAATGAAGGGGGAAGTTATCATCAAGGGTGACTTTAATCTTCCTGATGTAAATTGGAAAACAAAATTAGCTACTTGTGCCAGGAGCACACATATTCTAAACTCCCTACTGGGATTGTCTCTAAAACAAGTTGTTGAGGAGCCAACTCGTAAAGAGGCCATACTAGATTTAGTGTTAACAAATGGAGATTTGGTATCAGATATTACTGAATGTGAAAGTTTAGGATCCAGTGATCATCAGTCAGTGTGGTTTAATATAAGAACAGTGAATGAGTCACACCACACAAAAACAAAAGTTTTAGACTTTAGAAAAGCAGACTTCTCTAAAATTAGAATATGGGTAGAGGAGTCATTATCAGACTGGAGCAATTTAAATTAAGTCCAAGAGAAATGGGATTATTTAAAAGTTGCACTATTGAAGGCAACAGAAAATTGCATTAGGCTTGTCAGTAACAGCAAAAAATTCAAGAAACCACTGTGGTAGTCCACAGATGTGGCCAAAATAGTTAAAAACAAAAAGTTAGCATTTAGGAATTATAAAAAAACCCAGAGTGAGGAAGACAAAATGATCTATAAGATTAGGCAGAAAGAGGCTAAGCAAGTTATAAGAGCTTCCAAATCACACACAGAAGAGAAAATAGCACAGTCAGTAAAAAGGGGGGATAAAACATTTTTTAGATACATAAATGAGAAAAGAAAAGTAAAACAAGGATTAGTTAGATTAAAAACAAAAGAAGGAAGGTATGTAGAAGAGGATAAAGGTCTAGCTGACTGCCTCAATGAATATTTTTGTTCTGTATTTACAGATCAAAATGAAGGAAAGGGACCTCAGTTGAGAAAAAGGATAAATGAGTCATTTATTACACGTGAGTTTACAGAGGAAGAGGTTCTATTTCAACTGTCAAAAGTAAAGACAAATAAGTCAATGGGACCTGATGGAATACACCCAAAGCTGTTAAAAGAGCTTAGTGGTGTACTAGCAAAACCATTAACAGATGTATTTAACCAATCATTGTTAACAGGAGTAGTCCCAGAAGATTGGAAGTTAGCGAATGTTGTGCCCATTTCCAAGAAAGGTAATAGGGAGGAGTTGGGCAACTATAGGCCAGTAAGCCTTCAGTAGTGGGGAAAGTGATGGAAACCATGTTAAAGGATAGGATTGATGAACATCTAAAAACACATGGATTTCATGATCAAAGACAACATGGGTTTACTTCAGGGAGATCATGCCAAACTAATCTTATTGATTTTTTTGATTGGGTAACTAAAATTATAGATCAGGGTGGTGCAGTAGACATTGCTTACCTAGATTTCAGTAAGGCTTTTGACACTGCAATCTTTAAGTTTGGATTCCAATATTGTTGAATGGGTAAGGCAGTGGCTGAGTGACAGGCAACAGAGGGTTGTAGTTAATGGAATATATTCGAAGCTTGGACTTGTCACCAGTGGGGTACCTCAGGGATCTGTACTTGGGCCCATTCTCTTTAATATTTTTATTAGTGATATTGCAGAAGGTCTTGATGGTAAGGTATGTCTTTTTGCTGATGATACTAAGATATGTAACAGGGTTGATGTTCCAGGAGGGATAAGCCAAATGGCAAATGAATTAGGTAAACTAGAAAAATGGTCAGAATTGTGGCAACTGACATTTAATGTGGATAAGTGTAAGATAATGCATCTTGGACGTAAAAACCCAAGGGCAGAGTACAGAATATTTGATAGAGTCCTAACCTCAACATATGAGGAAAGGGATTTAGGGGTGATTATTTCTGCTGACTTAAAGGTAGGCAAACAATGTAATAGAGCAGTAGGAAATGCTAGCAGAATGCTTGGTTGTATAGGGAGAGGTATTAGCAGTAGAAAGAGGGAAGTGCTCATGCCATTGTACAGAACACTGGTGAGACCTCACTTGGAGTATTGTACACAGTACTGGAGACCGATCTTCAGAAGGATATTGATACCTTAGAGAGGGTTCAGAGAAGGGCTACTAAACTGGTTCATGGATTGCGGGATAAAACTTACCAGGAAAGGTTAAAGGATCTTAACATGTATAGCTTGGAATAAAGACGAGACAGGGGGGATATGATAGAAACATTTAAATATAGAGAGGGACTCAACACAGTAAAGGAGGAGACTATATTTACAAGAAGAAAAACTACCACAACAAGAGGACATAGTCTTAAATTAGAGGGACAAAGGTTTAAAAATAATATCAGGAAGTATTACTTTACTGAGAGGGTAGTGGATGCATGGAATAGCCTTCCAGCTAGGTTAACACAGTGAAGGAGTTTAAGCATGCGTGGGATAGGCATAAGGCTATCCTAGTTATAAGATAAGGCCAGGGACTAATGAAAATATTTAGAAACTTGGGCAGCCTAGATGGGCCAAACGGTTCTTATCTGCCGTCACATTCTGTGATTATATGTTTCCATGTTAGGCACGTCAGGCAGTCGCACAGCTCGCAACACCAAGCTTAGGGATACAGCAGCCCCATATATGACATTTCCAATACATTGTTGGATAAGCAATATATTGAATAAATGTTTTTCTCTGGTGGTCTGGTGGTGTACTGCATTGTCTGTATCTGCCGGTAATACAGATCGTCATATCCCCTCTTTCGCGGTTCAGGTAAACATGTAGTGAGTCAGAGTGCCAGCTGGGAATCCCCCTGGCTGCACGTTGACTCAACGTTGTGCCCCAGAACTGTGAGGTAAAGGATATAATGATCTGTGCTAGTGTCAGGTACAATCAATGTGGTACACCATAGGACCACTAGGGAATGAAAACGGAACCATGGGAAGCCAGCACTGAACCATCAGTGCAGGCTTCAAACAAGTGCACCATGGGGTCCCTCTTAGAAACATAGAATGTGACGGCAGATAAGAACCATTCTATGTTTCTAAGAGGGACCCTATGGTGCACTTGTTTGAAGCCTGCACTGATGCCTGCCTGCAAGTGAGGTCTCACCAGTGTTCTGTACAATAACATTCTGCTAGCATTTCCTGCTGCTCTATTACATTGTCTGCCTACCCTGTTACTATAGTGCACTGTACATTAACAATGCTCACACCCCTAAGACCGGACCCGAGTCTACTCTTTCAGAGGAATTCACTAAAGTGAGATTTCAAAGTGAATTTCAAATTAAAGTTTATAATTACCAATCTGGAAACATTCTCTACATCAACTATTCTTATTTAGTGAACAAATCTAACCCTGTATGATTCACAAATTTCAGTTCCATTTAAAAATCAGTTTTGCTAATCTATTGCTATAGTGTAAGAAAAGAAAATAATGTTCTTTTATATTGCACAAATGTTTGCAACAGATGATAGTAAATACTGTGAATTAATAAATTGTTCAATAATAAATAGAATTCTGTCTAGTTTGCAATATGTATGATTTTAAGCAGCATCATGTGTCAAGTGTTACCTCACTGTTGAGGGGGGCGGGAGAGCAGGGTGTGTGTGTGTATGTGAATATATAAAAAATATATTTTTGGGGCTTTGCAATGTGCTGTATGTTGTGCTGGAGAATGAAGTAATCTTCGGGTGACTATATATTTAAATTTATACACTTTCTGCTCATTCACCTGTACAACATAGAGCAGGCATTTAAACCCCATCCCCACTCCCAAATGTTACTGCACTGCAACTTCCATGAGTCTCTGGACATTTATTGCATTTAAAGAATTTGGGCCTATTCGCATCCGAGGAGCTGGAATTTGAGATTCCTGAAATAGAAGGAAAATAAAACTCTTCTCCAAAATGCACTCATTCTTAGTTAGAACTGACAGTTCTCCTTTCTCTAAATC